GAGAGGGGTGAGCAACGGTTGTAAACAGAAACTGCAGTGTAGAGTAATCTGAAGGGAGTGTGAGTTGACAGGAGTGTGGAAGAGCAGAGGAGGGAAATACCTGTGAAGGCCGAACCCCTCCCGAGACTCTCCCTTATGGTAGCCCCGAGCTCCAGCTCTTCTTGCTGCCTCCCTCCCAGCCCCACCGGCACCTGCAAGGCCACCAGGGGAGGAGCGCGGAGGAGAGTGGCGGTGTTGACCCCCACGCCCCTCCCCTCAACCGGCAAGGAGGCAACTGAAGCTCAGTGAGTAGGTGGCTAGAAATAGAGATGTGAGGGGTGCGTATGGGTGGGGCGGGGTGGCAGGTGACAGCAGCAACGACACCACTGGAGCAGTGGTAGGCACATGGTGCAGACCCAAAGGCAGTGCGGGGGTGTAATAAAGGTCTAGAATTGGGATAGGCTTAACCTGGGGGCTGAAAGGGGGGGGGATACCTGGAATAGGGGGTCTGCACCATGTGGGCTAGGCTGCTGCAAGTGGCTTGGTTTGAAGAGAAGAGGCATGCAGCATGGATGGAGGTCGATGTGCGGATGCATGTGGGAGTGCATGTGACAGAGAGCATTGAAAGCATTGAAAAGGGGAGGGCGAGTAGATTACTCACCTCATGCGGCTGTGAGTGGCGGTGGCGCCTTGAGGCTTGAGACTGCTGTGGTGCCGCCACTGACGCGCCTCCCACCACCCAAAGGCGCTGCTGAGAGTGCTGGGAACTCGCCACCAGAGGGGCTGCTGGGGAATGGGCGGAGGGGTGAGCGGGGGGAGAGGTGGAGGGGGGAGAGGAGGGGAGAAGAGATTCGGAGGGGAAGTTAAGGGGAGGAGAGTGGAAGGCGGATGGAAAGCGACATGTGCAGGCAAGGCAGACAGATGAGGAAGAGGGGAGGGGCCACTGGCGGGGATACAGTCACAAGGCACAGCCATAAGAAAAACCTGAGGAATACCTGTGGGGGCTGTGAGTGAGGCTGTAGGGGGTCTTAACCTGAGGGGATTACCTGCAGTGAGTGAGAGGTCTGTGGCTTGTGAACCGCGCCCCAACCAGTGGCACCAAAGCTTCAAGACGAGAGAGAGCAAAGCTAAGCAACGATAAGAAAGAAGAGAGCAGCAAGCAAAGGCGAGAGCAGGGAGGACAGGGTACTTAGCTTTCAGTGAGGTGCACGTGAGAGTGGCCGCCATCCCTTGCTGCTCTCCCCTGCCTTGCCCTGCTGCTCCCTGCCCTCCCCAGCCACCTCCTTCGCACCACCCCTCCTCCCAGCCTTGCCGTGTGCGCACCTGCACGGCCAAAGGGGAGAGGCGTGGGGGAATGGTGGTGCTGCCCCCCCCCCCTCCCCACCGCACACACACGGTAGGAGTGAGTGGGCAAGGCATGGCAGCACGCACAGCCACAACACACAGGGCCACGTGCATGGATGGCGTTGGAAACGAGAGCAAAGCTTGCTGCACCACGCCACACCCAAGAGGGGAACCTCAGTCTCAACCTTACCTCGCTCTCACCATCATTACCTTGGCTCAAGTTTTGCACCTGCAAACCGGGGGGGTTACTGACCAGGGGAGGGGGTACCTAGTCCGAACCTGGTAGGTGGGGAACAAGGGCTTGGGTGTGGCAGCGAGCAGGGAGGCAGTGTTGGTGCTGTTGCTGCTGCAGCGAGCAGGGCGAGAGTGCGGCGTGCATGCGAGCGAAGCGGCACAGCAAGGCGAGTGCATGCAAAGCGCGGAGGGGTGCTTAGCTGCGAAGCAGGACAGTCCGTTGGCGTTGGCGTTGACTGCAGCACAGTCCGCACTGACCAGCACCCAGCAGCCGCGCAGGCGTTGACGGGAAGAAGCAGTCGTGCCCACAGCAGCAGCGCATACGTTAACTGCTGCAGCAGCAGCAGCTGGCCGCGGAGGGGGGGAGAGAGGGGTGGGGGGGTGGGTGGGGGACGGCATGGGTGAGCAGAAGGGTCGGAAAGGCAAGCAGCAAGCAGGAGGGGGGCAGCAGAGGCGCACGCATGCATGGGAGTAGAGAGCGCCAACGACAGCAACGCCTGCCGCACCACACCCAGGGGGTACCTCAGTCTGAACCGTACCTGAGCCGAACCTGTACCGAGGACAAGAAATTTTGCACCTGGAACGAAGGGGTGGGGTTATTACCTGTTGAACGAACCTCATACCGGAGCCTAGGGGAAAGCCCTTGCGTGTGGTGGTGAGCAGGCGTGCAGCGAGAGGCGCTCGTGGCAGCGTGGGGAGGGGCGCATGTATGCGGAACGACAAGGCGGTCGAGGGCGAGAGGGTACTTATCTCCGTTCACTACACTTCGGAGCGTAGATGCTGGCAGCTCATGGCACGCAGCACGAGGGCTCACTGGAGTGCCACGCGAGTTGACTGCCCGCCAGTAGAGTGGAAAAGCCAGTATCGTGGAAACGCCAGTAGAGCGAAAACGCGTGGATGCAGATGATTGCGTTGAGCCGGACCCAGTAGCTCTCGTGTGAGCAGTGAGCCTGCGAGACAAGGCACAAACGAAAAACCCATCAGATACTTCATATTGGAGATTAACACGAACATTGGAGATATATACGAACCAAACAGGGAAAAGGTGATCCTCTAGCCGTGATGTGGTAGACCAACGCCATAGTTTTGAAACTTACGTTGAGAACTCGTTCACGTTGGTGCGTGCTGAAATGCCTAACTGAAGAGCGTTTCCGCGTGCTGAAATGTCTTAAATCGAAGCAGATGTTGTTGAATCGAAGCGATTTCGCATGTTTCTGTGGAAAAGCAGAGAGTGGAGTCAGTTGTCTAAGAATAAAACAAAAACGGAACAGTTGGCCTTGGAACCTTTAACTTACGGTGGAAATAATATTCGTTTCTCGCATAATAATTAAGCACTTGATCCGAACGTCAACGCAGCACGAACTCCAGAATCAACGCTCGTGCTGGCAGCAGCCGAACTTAGGATCCGTGTAGGCTAACTAGGGAAATGGAAAATGGAACATGAGAATGCGAGAGCATAGTGGGAGTAGCAGGAGACGTTGCGTTGAGAAAGGCGAAATCCGTTGGGAAATGGAATGTGAGTGGAGGTAGGGGAATGGCTAAGGTTATATATTGATCGTAATCAATGTACAAAGAATAGTACCATAGAGCTATCTAGAAACATGGCCGAGATGGCCAGCATCCTATAAGGAGCACGTGGAACACACGCTATTTCTTTGTCCTAACGGACAACCGCCAGCAGACTGGGGAGACGCTCTATGCGGAAGCTGACTAAGGAGGTCGGAACGGGTTACCCAGAAGCCATGAAAATCTGAGGTCGGGGTGAATGGAGGGTGTGCCACTCCGGTCGAAGAGGAGAAAGCGGAGTTTCTGTGCTCGCTTTATGCTGGAACAAGTGCGTTGACACTTCTTAGTAGATTGGCGTCCGCTCCTCCAAATATAAATCTTGAAGGCGATTAGGAATTGGGCTAATATCAGCTGCAAAATCTCGAAGCTTGCATTCCACAACGTCTTAACTGCAGCTCCCACTAGAAGGCTCCATGGGGGGGATTGTCCCACCTGTGACTGTATCGGGAATAAAATATGCTCGGCCGTGGTAGTCTGTCCAAGGTGGCGGTCGGCAATTGTACGGAGGGCCGAGATGACAGTTCCGGCGGAGGAACATTCGAAGAAGATGTGTGGCAGTGTCTTGACGACGGCAGCGGGGCAGCGAGGACAGATCCCCCGATCGTCAAAGTATTGGAAGCGTGACCCTGAGGGTAAGGTTAGCGTGTGAAGTCTAAAAAGGATGTCTCGCTGACGGCTCGGCTGATCCTTGAGAAATGAGTGTTTAAGGCCGGGGAGAGGAGGAGGAGGAAGGGTAAGGTCGCGGGTCCAGCGGAGGTGGTGGGTTAGTGGTTGTGCTGAGTAGAGGAGGCGGCGGATGTCGGCGATGCTTGGGATGCCGTCATGTAGCAGTCCTATCCTAGCCCCTAGCCCAGCCCCTGTGTGAAGTGGCCCAGCGAGCCACCAGTCCCTGACGTGCACCTCCAATAGGTCTTGTAAGCGGAAGATTCCGGTGTCTGCAGGGGTGCGGGCGATGTGATGGTTCGGCGAGACGTGGTGAACAGTAGCCGAGACGGACGAAGGGGGGATGAAAGAGATTACTTGGATGACGAGATGAGAGATGGAATAGTGATCTTCCGAAATCATGAACCAGAGGGGGCATGTGGGGTTCGAAGGGCGGCCCACCAAGGAGGTTTGATGGCCTTGATAAGCTCTGGTAGGATGCTGATTGCGTCTGCGTGGAATTTCTCTGGGAGTTGGGAGCAAAAGTCTTCTGTAGAGATAGGGCCAACCTGGGAGTTGGTGATTCGGACGATGTGTCCGATGCAAAATCGCACAGTAAGGAGGAAGCGCTCGTGTTGGCGAGTGCCAAAAGGCCGGTTGTCAGGTTTGAGGAAGGAGCGGTTGAAGGCGAGAGGCTCGGTGAGGATGCACTGCATGCGTAAGGGTGGGTCATGGATGACCAGAGGGAGAGAGAGGAGGGCTTTTAGTTCGTCTAGCGCCCGAGGGGGAATGAAAGTGGGGAGATAGTCTCGTTTGAGGATGGCTTTATGAGAGAGCAACCCGTGTAGCCCGAAGGGGAACGAGGTCAGGGTATGTGCTACTTCCTCAGAGGGGGTAGGTCCGAATCTGCGCAAAGCGCGCTGAATAGCAAGAGCTTTGATTTGTGTAGACGGGGCGATCGCCCCGACCCCGCCGTCTTCGGTGGAGTTATACAGGAGGGCTTTGGAAATGAGGCGTTGTGCGAGGCCGTCTTGTTTGTGTTTTGAGGACGAAAGGAAGTTCCCAACTGACACGTCTAAGCGTTTGATTGTGTCTGGTGGGGCGGGTTGAAAGCGACCGGGAAAGGAGATGACAGAGTTTAGGAAGATCGAGGAAAATGATTTGTGGCACGTGACAGTTGCGTGTAAAGCTGCCAGGAACTTGGCGGTACTTTGTATGCGGGCAAGTGCTTTATTTCAAGTGGTGGAACCTGGGTGTAGGCGTTCGACGTAGATTCTGAGGATGCGTTCTGCCCCATTGGGAGCTCGGATGGGTATGCTCCCGGCGTGTAAGAGATCACAAGGGGGGATATTGAAAGGGATTATGGAGCACTTGTTCCAGTTAGGAACTTCTCCGGAGACCGATCCAAAGACGCCGAGCAGCACTACAGCAAGCCCAAGCTCTGTATCAAAGGTGAGGAAGAGAGTGACGTCGTATGCGTAGCACGCCATAAGCCGGCGTTGTGCAGGGGACAAGGCAAAGCCAGGGAGGAAGAGGGACATGTATCGGTGAAAGATCTCCATGACGCAGAAGAAGAGCAAGGGAGCCAGTGGGCAGCCCTGACGGACACCAGTGCGGACGGGGAAGGTGGGGCCGAGCATATTGTTAACCGAGATACGTGTGTACGTATCGGAATGCATTAGACGAACCCAGTGGATGAAGGATGCGGGGAGGCCCAGGATGGATAGGGCATGGAGGAGGAAAGGCCTATCAACGAGGTCGTAGGCTTTGCGAAAGTCCACAGTGAGAGCGAAAAGGGGGGATGAGGAATAGGCCGCCCAGTCCATGATGTCGAGGGTATCATTAATTGTGTCACCGATTTTTCTGTGTTTGATGAAAGCGGTTTGGGATGGGTGGATGAGCTGGGGAAGCACGAGCTGAAGATGGTTAGCAAGGCACAGCGCGAGTACCTTGTAATCAGCGTTCATTAGTGTGATGGGGCGGAGATTTTCCACAAGCGAAGAGTCCCCTCTTTTAGGAATAAGGACCGTTCGTCCGGACAGCATAGATGGAGGGAGGCAAGAGAGTGGCTGTGCTGGTGAGAGTAGGGAGTGGAAGGCCGGGGCGAAACGTGGGGAGAATTGTCGAAAAAGCTCCCCGGGGAGGCCATCTGGGCCAGGGGTTTTTCCACGTGAAAGAGAGAGGAGAGCTGTTCCGATTTCGGCCAGGGAAAAGGGGGCACTGAGGCGGAGGAGTAAGGGGTTCGGGATGGAGGATGGGGGAATGTGTTGCCAGAAGGATGGGTTAGGGGTGACAGGGGTGCTTCCGCTGTACAGGTTCTGGAAGAAGTTGGAACATATGATGGTCATGGTGGAGAGATCCGAGGTCGTCCGTCCGTTTGGAAGAGTCAGGGAGTTGATGATTGAGCCTTTGATACGCGCGTTGAGTCCGGAGAGGAGGGAGGAGACTCCCATTTCCGTTGTAGTCTAGACGGTTAGGATATTCGGAGGTAGGGGAATGGCATGCAGGAAGAGTGGGGTCGGGATAAATATTTTATGATGCAAAAACTTGATGGTCGGAATAAATATTTTAGCTAAAAGAGCATCGTTTAGCGGCTAAAACTGCCTACTGCCTACATCATTTCAACATTGCTTTCTTCTCCCACTCCCACCGCCTTTACCACCCCCGACCTCCTATCCTAAAAGAATCAAGTGCTGCGGACTACTTTGGATCAACGCCGTGTGCCTGGGATAATGTAACCGAGGCAACAACGCCGACACGCCTGGGAGGGATGGCCGTTAATATGCAATGAAATGAGGAGGGAGATGTGACCGTCGGATCTTTTTTAAAACAAAAGAGGTGAGGGGCTCAGATCAAAGGGGTAAACGTTCGAACGATATGTCTTGGCCGTAAACTGACAGTTCGTGACGCGGTGCAGCGGATTGTTTGGTTCATGTCGGCTGGATAGCCCAATATGAGGGAACCCTAGTTGCCGTTGGAGGGAAAGCTGATGGTCATCAGATGAGCTGGTTTTGGGTGGGTGGGCTTCCCTGCTGTGGCAGAACTCCTAGCAGAAATTTTCGGGGTGGAGACAATGATTTGGCGAAACTCAGGCTTGGCGAACGAGCCCAGTTACCTGGCTCGTTTTCTACGTGTGGTGTGGATTCACAACCCAGAGGAGTAACCAGTAGACGGCTATGTGACGTGGCTCGTCTGATCCAAATGCTGACGGGGTCTCTGGCGTGGCAAATGGCAGGACCAGGTTTGCCGAGCTGATAGGTTTGCGCCATACGCTTCAAAACTAGCTTTGGCACACCAAACACCAAACACTCGATAGGAACTTTTGACAGCACCAAACACTTCATCTATAAGCATATATCTATTTAGCATAATGTATACGACTAACTCAACAGATCATGGAACACTACACATGTTATGAGTTGTGAAAGGAAAGAGTGCGCAGAATTCAATAACGCGGAAGTGATTACAACGTCTCAGTAAATAGCGAGGCCTAGGACTAATATAGCGATGCTAACTAGGCCGAGGTCGCGGGGTCACGGGGTGGTTGAGTGCAGGTTCGGGGTTGGAAAACCCGAAGGCGACGCGGTGATGGTCGGCGGACCGAGCCTGGTTTTCCGAAAATCGGGATTGTACGCGTACAGTGTGACCCAGTAAGGAATCCGAAAAATTCCCTACACTACCCACGCCCCCCTTAAAGAAAGGTGGTGAATATCCGAAACGCCTCGGCGGGCCAGGCAGGCATCCACAAACGGATGTCCCAATAGCGAGTCAACTGCAACATACGTGTCGTCCTTGCTCGTGCGTTCCTTCCAGCGGAGCAGAAATTTCACCGAGCGGCCTGCGGGAGTCACATCCACGCGATGATTGAGAATCTTCCATGGTTCCAGCTTGGGTTCCGCGACTGGGCGTGTGGTTGGCGCGATAGTTGGCCGGGCGATAGTTGGCGACTGCGGCTGTTCGTAGTGACGCAGTAAGCTGACGTGGAACGCGTCGTGTATTTTCCAAGTGTCGGGCAGCAGCAGCTTCGCGGTGACAGGTGTCACCATCTGGATGATGCGAAATGGTCCCACGTATCTGGGCCGTAGTTTCGCTGGTTGCGGCAGCCGGAGGTTTTTGGTGTCCAGAAGTACAACCTGCCCTGCGCGGAAGGGTAAATTCCGTCGATGTTTGTCCGCGTGGCGGCTGGCCGTGGTATTAGCCTTACGAATAAAATCTGCTGCTTTCGTTCGGGCTGTCTGCAGCTCCGTGACAAACTGCTGCGACCGTGGCACCGGGTTGTCCAACGTCGTGGAGGAGGGTGTCAGAAATAACTGAGCAGGAATGGAATGAACTAGCAGAGAGTTTGGTACAAGTAGGAAACCCTAACTTTGAGTACCCCCTAAGGTGTAACCCACTACAGCCTACATAATATAAACATGCAATGTTTGACACACCCCCATAGGCGCAGTGGGAGACAACCACAGGGTCACAAGACCAGTCAAAGTAAAGCAAAGTAAGCTCAGGGTGGATCTCAAGGATTCCACACAAATTCCGAGCACAAGCAAGCGGTCACAAGACCAGTTCACATGCAGGTTTATAACAAAGCAAGAGATACAGTGATCACAACCTAGCAAAAGTAAACAAGTAGGCATATATATATAGTGATCACAGTACAAGCAAGGTCAAGAGGTAAGTAAGTGAGGCCCAGTGGGTACAAGGCCTAGCAGAGTGCAAAAGCGCTGATGGTCACAAGGCTGAAGCGCCTTGGTGAACACATCAGCAGTGTTGGCCTCCGTGGCCACGTAACGCAGACAAAGCTGACCACGCTGCTGCAGCTCTCGAGCAAGGAAGTACCGCAGAGCGATGTGCTTCGTTCTGTGCTCCAGTCTGTGCTCCTCACACAAGGCAATGGCAGCCTTGTTGTCGACGTACAGCACTGGAGGAGAACGAGGCCGCTCTCCGAGGTCGGTCAGCAGGTAGGTCAGCCAGCGTAGCTCCTGAGCAGCCATGGCTGTGGCGTAGATCTCAGCCTCACAACTGGAGCTGAGAACAGAAGAAGAGCGAGTAGAACGCCAAGAAACTGAGCCAGAGCCAAGGCTGAAGGTGTAACCCTGGGACGACCGCTGAGTAGCCTGGTCGTCTGCCCAAGAAGCGTCTGAGTGCCCTGTGAGAACAACCCGGTCTCGCCCTCCAAGCACAAGCCCCATGCCCGACGTACTGCACAAGTAGCGCAACACCCTCTTAGCAGCATCCATGTGCTCCTTCCGGTGACGGCCAGGAGCGACATAGCGTGCTAGGATGCTAAGAGGGTATGCAAGGTCAGGTCGAGTGCAGGTCATCAGGTACATGAGGCAGCCCACAAGCTCTGGATACGGGCCACTCGGCTCTACGGACTCATCCGAAGGCAGAGCTGAGAGCGAGTGACCGGTAGGCAGAGGAGTGGACTGAGGCGAGGAGTACGTGAAGCGGAAGCGCTGGAGAACCTGCTGCACCATGTGTGACTGAGTCAGAGTGATGGTGCGCCGTGCTCTGTCCCGGGTGATCCACAAGCCAAGATAGCTTATCAGCTCACCCAGGTCTGTGCACGTGTGTCTCCTCTGCAGCTCCGACTTCACGTGAGCGAGTGCCGCGGTGTCAGCAGTGGCAAAGACCAAGTCGTCGACGTACACGAGGATGTAGAACGGCGGCAGCGAGGTGTCGGTGCGTAGAAACAGCGACGGGTCAGCAGTAGAGGGAGCGAACCCAAGAGCCGCAAGTGTCGTCCTCAGTGTGTCGTGCCACTCACGTGGCGCCTGGCGGAGACCGTAGACCGGCCGCTGAAGCCTCCACTGGGTGCCAGGAGGAACTGACCCAGTGAAGCCAGGGGGGCGGCGCAGCCAGATCTCCTCGTGCAGGCTGCCCTGCAAGAAAGCAGTGCTGAAGTCAAGAGAGTGAAGCTCGTAGTCGCGCTGAGCGGCTATGTGTAGCAGCACCCGAAGAGTAGTCATCTTCGGGGTGGGGGAGAAGGTCTGAAAGAAGTCTACTCCCTCTCGCTGACTGAAGCCTCGAGCCACGTAGCGCGCCTTGAAGACAGGCGGAGAACCCGGCGGCCGCTTCACCCTGAAAATCCACATGCCACTGACGATGTTCGCCCCAGGAGGGGGAACCTCATCTACGTAGGTGCCTGTGGACTTCCAGGAGGCCATCTCTGCGTCCATGGCTGTCTGCCACTGAGAGGAGTAGGGACCCGCCATCGCCTCAGCGTAAGAGCGTGGGGTCGGGATGTCTGGTGCATCCGGGTCTCCCTCAGGGGCAACTAGCAAGGACACGAGACGGGGCAAAGCAGCAGCAAGGCAGTGGAACTCCTCCTGTCTGTCCTCAAGGACGTCCGTGCCGAGGGCACACTCACCCCCGACGGACGGAGGACAGGCAGACGCAGACTCAGACCTAGCGACAAGGCTGGCAGCGTAGTCTAGGCGACAGCGAGCAGCAAAGTCAACCAACTCAGCGACCAGAGCAGACGCAGCAGAGGACTCAAAGGTCGGGTCCGTGACAACTGTAGCGAGGAGACGCGTAACAGTGGGACTGGCAGCACGACGAGAGTCAGACTCCGGGTCAGGAAGAGTAGGAAGAGAGGACGCAGGAGGAGACGGCAGCGGGACACGCTGCGGAGCAGTGGAGGGACGCAGAGTCATGTAGTGAGTGCCAGGGACAGGAGGAGGACGCTCACGTGGGACACGACGACCAGTGCGAGCAGTACGAACAGGCGACGCAGGACGAGACTCAGGCTCACGACGCTCTGTAAGACCTCCTGTGGGACCAGCGTAAGGGGAGGGAGCAGGGAGAGGCGAGGCAGGCGGTAACTGTGACTGCGGCTGGACAGGCAGAGGACACTCGACGGAGGGAGGAGGACTAGGAGGAGGAGCCTGACCAAGAACCTGCTGAAGGAGCGGTACGAAGTACGGTCGCGGCCGCGCAGCGTCTCCAGAAGCAGCAGGGACACCAGTGGCAGCCCCAACGCCCGAGTCCTCAGTACCAGCAGCAGCTCCAACGCCCGGGTCCTCAGCACCAGCAGCAGCACCACTGGTCGGGTCCTCAGCACCAGTAGCAGCTCCACCGTCCAGGTCCTCAGTACCAGCAGCAGCTCCACCGTCCGGGTCCGCAGCACCAGCAGCAGCTCCACCGGCCGGGTCCGCAGCACCAGCAGCACCTCCACAGTGCGGGTCCGCAGCACCAGCAGCAGCTCCACCGTCCGGGTCCCCAGCACCAGCAGCAGCTCCACCGTCCGAGTCCTCAGCACCAGCAGCAGCACCACTGGTCGGGTCCTCAGCACCAGCAGTAGCTCCAACGTCCGGGTCCTCAGCACCAGCAGCAGCTCCACCGCTCGGGTCCGCAGCACCAGGAGCACCACTACGAAGACTGCAGCGCCGCGTGTACCACTCGCGGATCACCTGAATGGGGGGGAGCTCCTGGGTAGGAGGGGAAGTACCGGGACGAGCTCCAGAAGCACCTCTCCGGAGGCGGCAGTACTCGAGGTACCTCTCCTGCAGCTGCTGGGAGGAGAGGGCTCCTCCAGGTGGAGCACGCTCAGGCTCAGCACCCCCAGACTCAGCACCCCCAGGCTCAGCACCCCCAGTCTCAGCACGTCCAGGCTCAGCACCCCCAGGCTCAGTACCTCCAGGCTCCGCACCTCCAGGCTCCGTACCTCCAGGCTCCGCACCCCCAGGCTCCGCACCCTCAGACGCAGCACTCCCAGGCTCAGCACCCCCAGACGCAGGACGCGAGTCAACAGCTACCTCGACAGGCTCACCCGGGTCTACCTGGGACACACCTGAGGGAGCGGCACCCTGAGGGGGGAGGGGGTCTGGTACCTCAGCACCTGGAGCGAGGAAGAGAGGCGGGGGGGGGAGCGGGGCAGTGCGGTAGGGGAAGAGGCGGTAGAAGGGGACGGACTCGTCAAAAGTGACGTCCTGAGAGGCCAGAACCCGGCGCGAGGTGACGTGGTAAAACTGCCATCCAGGCGCGTCGGGAACAAAGCCAAGAAAGACACAGGGAACAGCGCGACGCGAGAGCTTGTCCGCGGACGTATCGCGGACAAAAGCTCGAGATCCCCAGACCCGGAAACGCGACGCATCGCCAACCTCTCCCGTCCACCGTAGAGTCGGGGAAGTCTCCGGCAAGGAGACACGGGGCCAGAGGTTGAGCTGATGCGCTGCGTACCGGACCGCAAACGGCCACAGAAAGTGGGGAGCAGCCGCATGGGTCAGGGAGGTACGAGCGACCTCCATGACCAAGCCAATGCGGCGCTCAGCGACCCCATTCTGCTGTGGAGAGGCCGGAAGCGTGTACGACTGCTCAATGCCGTGCTCAGCACAGTAGGCTGCCAAGAGGTCGGAGGCAAACTCACCACCTCTGTCAGAGTGCAAGCGCAGGACAGGAAAGTCCGAGTGAAAGCGCTCGCCTAGCTGGAGACGGGCTCGGCTGATCCAGGGGATCAAAACACCAGGGACGTCACCCTTGGCGCGCAAGGGGAAGACCGTGGTGTAGCGCGAGTAGTCGTCAACAACTATCAGGAAGTATCTCTCCTGACCCTGACCACGGACGCGGGCTGGGCCCCACACGTCCATGTGGAGCGTCTGCAGGGGAGCTGTCGTCGGGGGAAAGGAGGAGGAGTGAGGAGCGGCGCGCTGCCGCCCCTCGACACAGGGAATGCAGTCAGGAGCAGGGGAGTCAGGAAGGGGAGGGAGCACCCTGGGAAGACCAGCAACAAGGTCCCGTTTGTGCATGGCCCGCAGGCGCTGCACAGACGGGTGACCAAGGCGGTGGTGCCAGAGGACGGTGTCGTTCGCCAGAGAGCGACACGAGCAGGGGGCGGACAGCTGACCTGACGCTGACGCAGACGCAGCTACCTGAGGGGACTCAGTGGTCAGTGTGTACAGGTCAGACCCCGGCTCTCGAGTGAAAGTAGCTAGATGGCGGCCCGTCCGAGCACACGTGCAGTGAGTCACACGCTCGTAGGCAGGGGTGAACTGGTGAACACCCCCGTCCTGGAGCGCACTACCTGCCACCAAGTTCGTGGAGAACGAGGGGAGGTAGAGACCTGAGAGCGTGCCGGACGGAACCGCTGGACACGGAAGGGTGGTGGAGGAGGTCGCAAGGACCGGACCCCCAGAGGGGTCAGCAAGAGAGACAGCAACCGGCCGAGCTAGAGGCTCAAGGACAGTGCGGTCACGAAAGAAAGAGCGAGAAGCACCTGAGTCCAGTGTGAAGGTGTGCAGTGCTGCAGTCGACTCAGTACCAGGGGGCACAGACGCACAAGCACCTAGAGCAGCAGCTGCAGTAGTACCTGTGGAAGCAGACACACTAGCACCTAGAGCAGCAGCGGGGCTGGCCTGAATGCCCGGGTCGGGCGGAACACGCAAGTACTGAGCACCCTCTCCACTAATAGACATCGCATACATGGCAGTGAGAATAGCATCAAAGTCTAGTGCCCAAATATCAACACCCTTCCTGAGCAGCTCAGCCCAGCGCGGCAGCTCACCCCCACCAGGAAACTGGGTGCGCCACGCATCGTTGAGGCGGGCGAAGCAGCGCTCCGTCTGGTGCGGCCCCCCACACGTCTGGCCAGTGCGGTCACCTGTACGAATAACATACTGGCAGGTGACGCTGCGCCGCGCATACCACTCACGAGCGGCCTGAAGGGTCGGGGCAGGCTGCTGACTCTGACCGCCCCCCGGGCCTCCACGACCACCACCCCCTCCGCCTCCGCCCCGGCCACCTCCACCCCTGCCGCTGCCACGACCACCTCCGCCTCCGCTGCCACCTCCGCCCCTGTCACCACTCCCAACGCCGCTGTCACCTCCACCACTGCCGCCACTAGCCTCTCCAGTCGCACCTCCACCGCCACCACCTCCACCTCCGCCTCCTCCGCCACCACCCCCACTCCTGCCACTCCTGCCCCTGCGTCGTCCGCCTGAAGCAGACGCAGCCCCGACCTTCTCAGCACCAAGGAGGTCGACAGCAGCAGCAGAGGCGACAGAGGGGAGGAGGGGGGAAGGGGAGCACCCCTCAAAGAAGGGGCCGCGGGGGTCGCCACGAGAGGTGCCTACAGCGACGATACTAGCCTCGGCTGCAAGCAGTTCCTTCTCGAGGAGGTCTACGGTGAGCTCAGTGGGGGAGCGAGAGAGGAACTGGTCCCTGACAGGGCGCAGAGAGTCAGGGAGGCGGGTGACAACGTGGTAGAGAGTGATCCAGAGCGGGGGGGGGTTGCTAGCGAGGAACTCGTCAGGCATGGCAGCGCGAAAGCGAGCCTCACTAGTCTTAAGGTGGGTGATGAGGTCTGCGACAGTGTGAAAGGAGGCTAGGTCGGGGAACAGGTAGGGGAGAGTGAGGCGGCCTAGCGTGGCAGAAGCGGGTGAGGAGTAGCGGGCCACTACAGCTGTGTAGAGGTCCTTAGCAGTCTTGCACTGGCCGAAGTGCTCGCGCTCATCTAGCGGCAGGGAGTTGCGAATAGCAAAGCGAGCGTGCGCGTCACGGGTCTGCCACTGTGAGCGCTCAGCTGGGGGGGCAGTAGCGAGTGGGGCGGTCGCATGGCCGAGAGCGTGGTCGTACAGTGTAATATCTTCCTTGGCAGTGAGCTGTAGGAAAAGGTGCAGGTCATCTAGCCAGGTTTCGAATTTGACCGGACGGCCCTCGGCGTCGAAAGCTAGAACAGGAGGACTAGCCATAGCGACAGCGGCAGAAGTAGAAGCAGTAAAGTCACTGAAAAGGCGTGCGCAGGGTCAGCGGGGCCGGTGGGGCCTACGGACTGTAGTGGCGCACAAGCAGCAGTAGCAGGAAGTGTAGTAGTAGGATCTGCAGTGGTGCACAGGCGCAGCAGGCGGCAGCGAGAGCCGGCGCAGCAGGGGCGGGCTCAGCAGCGGTGATACGCGAGCGGCGGCGGGCGCAGCAGCGGCGGTGCGCGGGCGGCGGCGGGCTCAGCAGCAGCGGTGCGCGGGCGGCTGCGGGCTCAGCAGCGGCGGGCCGGGAGCAGGCAGCGCGCGGGCCGTGCGGGCCGTATGTGAGCTGCGCGGGCAGCGTGCGGGCCGGCGGCGGTCAGCGCAAGAGCCGCGCAGGCTCAGCGCGGGCTGCGCGGGCTGCTCGCGGGCTGCGTAAGCGGGTCGCGGGCGGCTCGCGGGGGTTCGCGGGCAGGTCGCGGGCTGCTCGCGGGCAGTTCGCGGGCTGTGCGCGGGCTGGTCGCGGGCTGCGCAGGCGGTTCGCGGGCTGCGCGTGGGCGGTTCGCGGGCTGTGAGCGCGGCGCGCTGTGCGGTTCGCGGGCGGCGTGACGGGGCCGATCGGGGCGCTAAGGGGCGACGCGACGGGGGCCGTGAGAGGCCGCTAGGGAAAAAAAAAAAAATTCGAAGGGGGGGGCCGGAGGGCCGCTAGATCGACGGGGCCAGCGGGGCCGGAAACAAGCGAAGGTAAGCAGGTAGGTAAGTCGGTGGGCCCTAAGAACAGTCCTAACGAAGGACCTGCTCTGAAACCATGTCAGAAATAACTGAGCAGGAATGGAATGAACTAGCAGAGAGTTTGGTACAAGTAGGAAACCCTAACTTTGAGTACCCCCTAAGGTGTAACCCACTACAGCCTACATAATATAAACATGCAATGTTTGACAGAGGGTACCACGGGGTCTATACCGTAATTCAGGTAGAAGGGTGATTGTTTAGTCGTGGCCGAAGGGGCGTTGTTGTACGCGAATTCCAGCATCGGCAGCGAATCCTCCCACTTGCGAATGTCCGGGCAGTTGGTGCGAATCAGTTGCTCCATGGTCTGATTTGTCCGTTCCGTCTGTCCGTCGGTTTGCGGGTGGTATGACGACGAAAACTGCAGGCGGGTACCGTACTGTGCCCACGTCTCCTGCCAGAACTTCGATGTAAATTTCGGATCCCGATCGCTAATGATCGCCGATGGTAACTCGTGTAGGCGTATGACGGTGGAGATAAATAGTTTCGCTGTATCTTCGGCTGTGATCGTCGTTCGGCATGGTGTGAAATGCGCCATTTTCGCCAGGCGATCGACGACGACCATGACCGAGTCGTTGCCGCTCGCGCCAGCTGGAAGCCCCGTGACGAAATCCATCGTCACCTGTTGCCACGGTCGTTCGGGTGGCTCGAGGGGTTGCAGCAGTCCGGCTGGCCTTTGTCGCGACGACTTCATTGCTTGGCAGGTCGGGCAAGTTGACACGTAGCGCTGCACATCGGTGAGCATGTCCAGCCAGAAATAATTTCGCTGTAGCAGCTTCAGTGTTTTGTCGGTGCCGAAATGCCCGGAGAAGTTGGAGTCGTATACCTCCTGCGTCAGCAACTCCCGTAAAGGCTGGTAGGCGGGTACCCAAATCCGGTTCGTACCGTCTTTTAGGTAGTACTTGCCGTGTGGCGTGGCAGCCTGTTGGTGCGGATTTCGAAAAAACCTGTCGATCTTGTAGCCGTGGGTGAATAGTCCCGTCAGCATCGGGTTGGTGTGGGCGATTAGTACCGCCGCGTTTTGCATGGATGGTCGGGTGAGGGCGTCGGCGATGTTGTTGGCGCCTTTCTTGTACGTGATGGTGTACCGAAAATTGGACTCGAGGAAGTCCAACCACCGGATTTGTCGCGGGTTGAGTGTCGGTTGCGTGCGCATGTACTGTAGCGATTTGTGGTCGGTCCGAATGGTCACGTCGGCTCCCGTGAGGTAGCAGCGCCAGGTACGAAATGCGTGGACGATGGCCAGCATCTCTTTGTCGTGGACTGGGTAGTTGCGCTCGGGTGGCTGCATCTTGCGTGATTCGTAGGCGATGGGTTGCAGCCCGTTGCCGAAGTCCTGTAGCAGGACGGCGCCGACGGCGAAATCGCTGGCGTCCGTGATGACTTCGAACGGTCGAGATGGGTCGGTGAGGCGGAGTACTGGGGGCGAACCCAAAATGTTTTTGAGCGCGTCAAAGGCGGACTGCTCCCCCTCCCCCCACAGAAAATGACTGTCGTGATGCAGCAGGTCGGTCAGCGGCTTGGTTATCCCTGCCATATTAGGTACAAAACGACGAACGTAGTTAACAAACCCCAAAAAACTTTGCAACTCAGGGATATTAGTAGGCGGCTTCCACTTAAGGATGGCGTCCACCTTATGCGGGTCGATTTTTATCTCTTCGCCGGAAACCACGTGCCCTAAAAACTCCAACTCCGGTTTTAGGAACTCGCACTTAGACCCCTTCGTAATCAGCCGATGCCCCTGTAAACGGCGGAACACTTCCTCTAAGTCCCGCAAATGGTCTTCCTTTGTCGCGCTGTACACCAAAATGTCGTCCAGGTACACGATGACTTTTTTATCCAGCATGTCCCGGAAGATCCCGTTCATTGTCAGCTGGAACGTCGAGGGCACGTTTGTCAGTCCGAACGGCATCACTGTAAACTCGTAACTGCCGTAGCATGTGCGAAATGCTGTCTTCGGGCAGTCGTCGGCGAACACGCGAATTTGGTGGTAGCCTCCTCGCAGGTCGATTTTCGAGAAACATCGAGCTCCGCGAAGTTGATCCAGCAGATCGTCAGTTCGCGGGATCGGGTAACGCGATTTTATCGTGACCCGATTCAGCGCCCGATAATCAATGCACATGCGTAGGCCCCCGTCCTTCTTCGGCGTGAACAGTATCGGCGCTGCATATGGCGACGTGCTTGGTCATATAAATCCCTTGGCTAGGAGGTAATCCAGCTGGCTCCGCAACTCAGCGAGCTCTGGTTGGCTGAGCCGCCACTGTGTCCGTACAGTAGGTTGCGCGCCCGGCTCCAGCTGGATTCGATGATCTTCTAGGCGTTGGGGGGCAAGCCATCCGGGAGGTCATCCGCGAAAATTTCGGGGTACCGCCGAATAATGCTCGCCAATTCCTCGGGGACTGCTTCGTAGAGGGTATCGATGTCCGCGATTTTCTCAGAAGCTGCCACCTCGTATAGGTGTACCAAGAAGGCCTAGGCTCCGCTGTTCATCGCCCGTGCCATGTTGACCGCGTTGACACGTGTCGTCACCGGCTCCGGCTCCGTCCATTTCGGAAGCGTCGTCTTCCCTCCGTATCCTCGCACGACGCACGCCCCAGTCGTCCAGTCGATCGTCGGATTGAAGCGCTGCAGCCAATCTCTCCCCAGCAGCACATCGCAGCCGTCCAACGTCGTCGCCAACATCTTCATGCCAAACCCGAATTTGTCGCCACACCGTATCCGAATTTTTCGCGCCTCATCTCGGATGGCCAGCGGTGTCCCGTCCACCAATCTTGCATTGATCTCCGGTAGGCACCTGGTCAGCTTCACCCCTATTTTTTTTTGCCGTTGCCAGGTTGACGAGACTGTGGCTCGCCCCACCGTCAACGAATATTTTTATTTTATAACCGTTAACCCTCCCCACCACCAGCACAGGGTAGTCCACGTGTTCACCCACGTTATTCGTCCGGTTCTGGTCGATAGCTCTGATCGGTACCACGACCCGGTGTGGATGGTGATTGTCGGGCGACAGGGTCTCGTCAGTAGGTGGCCCTTCTGCTACTGACTCACATCTTTTCCCGACCCTTCTCCGTCGTTCTTCTTCATCTGCTTAAGCCTCGGGCAGTCTTTTTTCACGTGGCCCAGCTGGTTGCATAAGAAGCACGGCCCAAGGGCTCGGCTTGGTGCATCCACGCCGTTGATCGTGGGCTGCTGAGTCGATCCACGAAATCGAGGGCCCTCCCGGGAGCTCGATCTCGCCCACTGCATCAGCGCATCCGTTGACTCGGCTTCCCGGACGGCGTCGTTGAAGCTGCGTGGCCGGGTTCGTCGGACCTCGTACTGTATCTCGTATTTCAGGCCCGCCACGTAGCGATCCAACCGCTCCGCATCGCTCATGTCGTCCACTTGGTCCGCCAAGTTGCAGAATGTGCTGGTGTAGTCTTGGACTGAAGTCAGCTGCTTCCAGGCACGCAGCTTCATGCGAGCAGAGTCCGAGGCGGATATATGCTCGAACCTGGTTCGCAGGGCGGCGCCCCACTCCCTCCATGTGCGTATCGTAGCCGTCCCGAAAATTGATGCTGCTCGATGCGTGACAGGTGTTGAAGTCCCGTCGTTCGCACGTGCTATTCCTGCCGAAGTCCCTTCGTCCTGCAGCGTTCGCCTCCACCACTCCAGCGCAGGTCCTCGCAACAGTGAAACTGCGAAATTAATGCGGGTGGCATCGTCATAAATCATGGCAGCATTGAAAAACACCTCCACGCCGAACAACCATGCAGAAACAGTGACGAACTTGTCACTTGGGTTAAACGGGGGCGGGTTTGTCGGCTTGATTTTAGCCGTTGTTTAAGCCGTTGCTGCCACTTGGACTGTTGGCATCGCTGCTGGCGTCGCCGTCGTCGTCGCTGCTGCACGTGTCGGCGCTGCACGCGACTGTTGCGGTGACTGTTGCCTCTGCGCCTGCCTTGCCTCGTCCGCATCCATCTCGCCTTCCAGCTCGCTCCAGACCCGCTCATCTGGTGCAGTGCTGCTACTTGCGTCGTCCACGACAGGCGACTCCTGGCGCGCTTCACCACGCGCCTGGTGTAGTTCGGCGTTTTCCTTCTGGAGACGCTCCATTTCTGCAGACATAGTCTGCATGGTGGCCTGCATCGTCCGGAACTGTTGCATGAACTCGTTGAACTCCGCCTGGTCCATGTGTCGCAGGCTTCGTCTAACGGGCAGGGGGTGGCTAGCGATTTTTCTGACTTCGGTGAAGGCGTTAATGCTATCGTAGTCGGAGTGGAATAATCGGATCTATTCCACGGGCCGACCGCTTTACAGCCCACCAAGTCTATCGCTCCCCTTCTACAAACTACCCCGGAAACGCGAGGGTAACCTAGGAAAGTAGCTCTGATACCAAGTGTTATGAGTTGTGAAAGGAAAGAGTGCGCAGAATTCAATAACGCGGAAGTGATTACAATGTCTCAGCAAATAGCGATGCCTAGGACTAATATAGCGATGCTAACTAGGCCGAGGTCGCGGGGTCACGGGGTGGTTGGGTGCAGGTTCGGGGTTGGAAAACCCGAAGGCGACGCGGTGATGGTTCGGAAGGCGAGGTCGGCGGACCGAGCCTGTTTTTTCGAAAATCGGGATTGTAGGCGTAGAGTGTAATAAATGAATTCTGCTGGTGACAAATAGAGGTCCGCCAACCTGTTTCGTGCGAGCCTCGTCAACTTCGATGACGCGTTTCGATTAGACAGAATGGGTAATGTTTGCCTTTAGAGCCTTCACTGATTGGTGGGAGCTTGTGTGCGGATGAGGGTGTGCGACATTGTCGCACCTGAATGAGCCCCACAGAAATGAATTGGAATGTAATGTAATGTGCATTGCATTTCAAGATCTCTCCTCATTCCCAAGTCCTGCAGGAATCTCCTAACAAACAGGGATCTATTTCAGTCATGGCTGCAGCTCTCTCCTCTGGTGTCCAGTCCAAGGTGCTCTCCGTGAAGGCCGCTCCTGCCAAGGGCTTCGGTGCTCTCAAGAGCGAGATTCACAATGTGACGGTCGGTAGCTCTTTCTCCACTGGCGCCAAGGAGATCGCTGCGAAGGCCACGCTGAAGTCCCGTTCTAGCAATGTCAGGAGGCCCATGCTCGTAGTCTGCAAGACTGGCAATAAGACCGTTGTGGTCGGCCTTGCCGCCGATTCAGGATGCGGGAAGAGCACATTCATGCGGCGCATGACTGGCGTGTTTGGAGGCTCAGCTTCTCCCCCCAAGGGAGGCAACCCTGACTCCAACACCCTTCTCAGCGACATGACCACCGTTATTTGCCTCGACGACTACCATTCGCTCGACCGCAACGGTCGCAAGGTGGCGAATGTTACCGCGCTGGATCCCAAGGCGAACGACTTCGACCTGATGTACGAGCAGGTAAAGGCGCTCAAGGAAGGCAAGTCCGTCATGAAGCCCATCTACAACCACGTGTCCGGCCTGCTCGACCCGCCGGAACTCATCGAATCCCCCGACATTCTCGTCATCGAGGGCCTTCACCCCATGTACGGCTTGCATTTGTTTTTGTTTTTGTTTTTGTTTTTTTTTCGCCTTTTTGTTGGTTTTTTTTCTTCTGTTGTTGATCCTGGCTGTTACGTCTTGGATTTCTCGTCTCAATCCTGGCTGTTGTTGGTGTCAGGTACGATGAGCGCGTGCGAAAGCTCATCGATTTCAGCATTTATCTTGACATCAGCGATGAGGTCAAGTTCGCCTGGAAGATCCAGGTACGCAGTTCCTCAGCACTGTTACTTCAGGTCCTATGTTATTTCATTGTCTGCTGACACAAACGTTGGGCACATACTATGTGGTGGGATTCGTGCAGCGTGACATGGCTGAGCGCGGTCACAGCCTGGAGAGCATCAAGGCTTCGATTGAAGCGAGGAAGCCAGACTTCGACGCCTACATTGGTATGATACATTTCGACCGAATCCCACCGCACTGTACCAGATTCAGTCGACATATCTCTTATTTTAGCTCACTCTTAGGCATGGACGAATAAAGAACAGTAATCGTCGGAGCCTCAACCATAGTCCTCCTCCCCCGAACATTTCACCCCCATTTTAAACACGTCAGACCCACAGAAGCAGCACGCGGATGTGGTGATTCAGGTGCTGCCGACGCAGCTGATTCCCGACGACAACGAGGGCAAGGTGCTGCGCGTGCGCATGGTGCAGAAGGAGGGCCTTGGGACGTTCGACCCCGTGTACCTCTTCGACGAGGGCTCCAGCATCTCCTGGATCCCCTGCGGCCGCAAGCTCACCTGCTCCTACCCGGGCATCAAGTTCTTCTACGGCCCTGACACTTACTTCGGGAATCCGGTGAGTGAATGAACGAAGGAATGACAGCACGCCTAAGAACAGTTGCATCACAAGTAATGCACGAACTACAACCTCAGACTTGACGTTTATGGTCCATGACTCTCTCTTACATAAACCTGACCAAATCCGTCGTCCTACCCAATATCCAGGTGTCTGTTCTGGAGATGGATGGCCAGTTTGACAAGCTGGACGAGCTGATCTACGTGGAGAGCCATCTGAGCAACACGTCCACCAAGTTCTACGGAGAGATCACCCAGCAGATGCTCAAGAACGCCGACTTCCCTGGCAGCAACAACGGCACAGGCCTGCTGCAGACCATTGTGGGGCTCAAGCTGCGTGAGGCGTATGAGCGCATTGTTGCTGAGTCCCCTGTTGCTGCTTAACTAAGGATAATAATGTTCTAAGATAGTGTTTTTCCATTATGCTTTCAGTGGAGCCTAGTCCAGAGGAGATCAGGCAACTGTACTGTAAATAAATAGCATGAGGTGCCTTTGATGTAGGAACCACAGCTCTACTAGGGTATCCTATTGTCCTTGGCTGTC